GTCGTTCAAGATAATAAATGTTCAAAACCACAGTGATGGGCCCCAGACGACAAACTCGTGACACGTGGAAAGCAATTTCGGGTCAAGGTTCGGTACAGTCGACTATATTCAGTTACACGGACAACGAATCGAGAGATTGCAAAGGCGAAAGTTTTGCGCGATACGTTTACAACCGCGCAATGGATGCTGCAGCAACACTCCATCGTAGACGAAACCGCGAATGCAAGCTCTCTTTCTCTCGAAATAACACCGATAAAGGACTTGATCGCTGTCAATATGTCGCGATTGTTTAACGTTTAATGTGACCGTTTAACGTCAGACTTTATTAATTTTCGATAAGATAATTCCGATATTTCTCATTTGCGACAGTATTAAGATATACGTGCAGTATCGATTTAAATGCATATAAGCGAAAGTGGAATAATTAGCGATAACTAAAATATTCCATTATACATTTTTCCGTTATACATTTTATTTCGAAAAATATTATTACCAGTGACAATTAAAGTTGTATTTATAACACTTTTGTTTCGTCAAATTTCATTTTTTAATGTTATAAGAAAATGTTTACTATTCAAAGACAGTAAATGTGTATATGTGACAACAAATATTGTATAATAAATAAAGGAAATAAATTATTTATAAATATTTTCTGAAAGTCAATGCTCATTAACTGTTCGTCGGAATCCTTTTTACGTATGAAACCTTTCAATTCACTAAATTGAAGAGAAATTTGCTAATTTCATCAATGCATTATATTAATATACTAAAAACAACAACAAGACACACATAACGTACACACGCAACGTACACAAGCTTAAACACAAGCTTAAACTTTTCGTGACATTCGTCTCATTCCTTTTTCCTCTTTTACGGAAAGAAGCTTATGGATTGCATTTCTCATTGGGCATTTGTATCGCTTGTATTTTAGACATCTGCAATGTCGATTTTTCCCAAAACAATCGTCCACCTACATAGCACCTGTCGTAGGTTTTATCGAGCTACAATAGCAAAAATGGAATGCGAAAATGGAAAATGCCAGAGATCGGTCATGCTCGGTTCTCGCTTTCTCTCTATTCTCCCCTCCTCCCCCCTCCCCCCTCCCCCTCTTCCTCCTCTTTCCTCATGAAAACGTCGCGCGATAACCCGTACGATGTTGTCACTTAAGAGGAAATGGAGTTCCAAGATTTATTCGTGATATCCCAGCGGGTCGATAAGCTTTATTATTCGCGCGCGTCCCCAGCAAGATCAGCGGCAGAGTATGATAAACATTTTTGTCGTCGTGTGCTCAAAGCAGATTACCGCTGTGATATTTTTCGGTCGACCCGCATCCCTCGGGATTCCATCGTGCGATCAAAGGCGCTTTCGAAAAGGCACGCGGATCACGCGCCGTCGCATAGGGCGCATTCGACGCGCTTATTTGATTTAGAGGGGCCTCAAAATGAGATAACACACGTTATTTCCGAGCCATTTTAACAGAATTAATCGTTTCAGAGTCATTTTTCAGCTGCGCTGAAATTGAATCGTTAAATATGGAAATTGAATGGAAACAGTGCTGCAAAAAGTATATGGTTCTTAAATTCGCCCTGAGACGAATGATTTGTAAACCTCGTCAGAATTCAGAATAGAATCCTTTTATATAGTTGCGTGTGATGTGCAATACAAAAAATACATTTGAAGACTCAGAATGTACGCACAGATAAAGTATGTATCAAAATACCATGTACGTAAAATTATAAACAGAACAGACTCTATCTTAAAATTTAACGCGAGGTGTAGATTGCCAAAAACAGGTTTTATTTTTAGAGGCGCAAAAAAGTTTGTAAAGTATTTAATGTTGAAATGTTGGAAGAATTGCAATATATTATAATTTTATAATTCTATAGAAAAAAATCTAAACTTGTATGTTACATGGAAATAATTACGTGCGCAGGAGGTAGATGTAAAAATTTTATTTTTTTCAATTCACACCACCTCGGCGGAATAAGCTTGATTATACGTAATTCTGTACAATTAGCAAAATAATTGATCATCCTTAAAATCCTGTTGTATTAAATATTAAAATTAAATATTATATTTTGTAGCTGACGATAACGAAGAAGAATTAAAAAGAGCCGAATGTTACGTGTTGATTATATTATGCTCGGCGTAGCATTTCACGTACGTCACTCTTTATTAATCTTTTACGTTCTCTTTGCATTTTGTTCGCGCGATATAGTGAATAATGTTAACGCTAAAACGAAAGCAGGCCTGGGATATTTTGCGGAGCAAGCTCTTTTAAAGTAGCTACAAATCTATACGCTCTTATCAACTTTAAATAAATTTTAGCGATGGAGCGTGTCGGAAAAATCGAATCCTTTATCATGTTAACCCCTTTATGGTAAACAATAATGTTAGAGAATTTTCGAGATAGAGTCTAATTTTTGCAAAAAGTATTATGCAAAAACCGATCTACCCGTGTTTAGAGTACGTATTTTATATTGGCGGACGATAAACATATAAACATTTCGAGTATAACTGCATTAAGCTTTATCAAAATTACCATATTTTAACGTTTACTACATTTGCCGTTTTATATTTAGTAGCACAAATTAACACATATCCATACAAACCTTTTTCATCTGTGGGTAATAAATCTCTCTATGTGGTTAAATGGTAGAGGAAATCAAATAGATAAGTGCATAAAGGCAAGCGAATATATAATACGTAATAAAATTGTAACTGGGACGTGAGTAGAGCAAATCTCACCGAGGACACCTTAAAATATGCTTCTGTCGCTCGGCGAGGATCCTTGAAATATACTATCGCTGTTCCAGCGAGCATCCTTAAATATTCTGACAATTTTCAGGACGTCGTTTCTAACTTGGGTCGCGCGAAACCAAAGGGTTCGCACGCGCATTGGTTATTCTGAACGCTCTTGTAAGCCAGTCATGCAATTAAAATCCGTTCATCCGGCAAAAATGCGAAGAAGGGTTAATGAGCGAGCGTTCCGGTGCGCTCGCGAGCGTAACTCGATTACCCCCGCGTTTATCCCGCGGGGCACGCGCAAGGGGAGAGGGAGGGGGGGGGGTTCTCTCGCCCTTCTCTCCGAGAAGTAGAAAAGAGCGCTTTCCGCGCCACGTTGAGCCACGGCTGAATCGAGCCGTTCGAGCGCGAACGGAAGTGGTTATCGATGCGCACCGGAAGCGCGCCATTGCGCCCGTGTTGTGTTGTCGTAAAAGAGAATCCTCGGGGCCCCGCGCCCCGAGGGTCGAGCGGTGACCAGAGCGGCGAGAGAAAAAGACGCGAGAACGTGGACGCTGATGAGAGGAAGAGTGGGAAGAACAGGTCGGGCGTGAGGAAGGAGAGGAAAACGAGGAAGGTTGCCGCGAGGGCGCCGAGGGAGTTAAAGGGTGGTCGTCGCGGAGGATGGCCGAGGGCGACGGCGGGCGGAAGATAAAAGGATAGGAAGAAGAGGCGACCCCCGACGGACCAGTCCCGACGAGGGTGGGACGCATACGGTAGATCGCGAGGGGGGTAGCGGTGTGGCACACCGACGCCGACGTCGAGGTTGGGGTGGACGTACCGCAGGAGAGGGGCGCCATTATATTTGCGCAGGGCCGTCCAATAGGGCGCAGTATCGTCCCGACCGCCGTCGCGTGTACACGTCATAGTTGTGTCTGGACTTTGTGAAACGCGCGTAAAACCATCGCCGTCGCCGTCGCCGTCGCCGTCGTCACCTCCCCCTCCCCCCGGAAACGTCCACGTCCGGTGTCCCGGCGAGGGTGAGATACACGCGAGACACGTACTCGTCCTCTCCTACCGTCTCCTGTATCCCGTATCCCGTATCCGCCCCCGATCTATCTTTCTTTCCTCGTGTACCTCTCCTCTACTATCTCTCTCCGTATCTCTTCACTTTCCGTACATTCCAACGTTCGTTTCGCGCGTCGCTCCGAAACTTTTTACGACCGCACGCAGTATAAACAACAACGGAGAGCGTGAGAGTCCGCCCACGCACGAGGGTCGCAAGTGGAAAGTGAGTTGCGCTGCGACGAAAAGTGAGTAGACAAAGTGGCTGCGTTTAATGTGGAAGGAGAAAGGAGGACCGGGGAGGAGAAAAGCATGGCGGGAGAGAATCGAAAATCTCTCCCCGTCCTTTTTTCCCCTTTTCCCTCATTTCCGTTTGCGCTCCGCGAAGGGGCGATCCTGGATCCTTTATCCCCCTATTCACGTACGTGATTTCTGAGTGTTTTACTTTCACGCAATGCGATACGTACCGCTGATCATCGACGGGAGCAGAAGCTCCGATTAATTGGGAATTGCTCCGATTAATCACATTCCTTTCTACGCAAAGGCACGCGAAAGACTCGGCAATATCGGAGGCGGAGATTTAAACGCGTTCAGCAATCTCCGCGAGAAGTGCAGAGGCTGAGGGAGAAAAAGAAGATAAAGAAATTGACGATAATTACGTATTTTTTGTAATGTTATAAACACGAAAACATGAATACGAAAATAATATATTTTTCAGTATTGAAGAAAACTGACAAATTTGCGACAATATTTTTGGCTTTCCATACCGTAGGTACAAAAAAGTAACAAGTAGGTATAAAGAAGAAATAAGTTCATAAAAAGAATACTTTTCTTGATATCCAAACTGTTGAAGATTGAACCAAGCGAAATTGTACAATCTCGTTCATGTTTGAATCAACCCCTAATTTAAATCAACACTTTTTGTTATTTATAGCACGATTAATTGCTAAAGACATTATCACATTTGATCATGCGTCTAAATTTGTTGTTTACTGTTCTCAAGTGAGAAGATTTCAGAGAAACTCGTAATTTATTGCAATCTTTTAATCGTCAATGTTAGGATGACTAAAGTTCGTGTAGAGTTACATTAAGGCAAAGTGTAGGTAAAATTAACTGAGAAATGAAGATGTTATCCCCTTTCATTTTGGAAATTTGATTTGCTCAAGTCCTTTGATTCACGACGTTAAGTATCTCTGTAATTAAGCCATCCATCAAATTTTCATCAAGGGGGATATCGATTTTACATTTCATAAGAAACTTATCATACTTACAATGATATCCTATCCCTTATATTATAATTAACAAATAATTAAGTTGAAATTACTTTTGGATATATCGTAAACGTTTGTCTTGTAATAAAATAAAGGATTTGAGAATTATTAAGTTATCTATAATTTTTATATGTACTTAAAAATGTTCAAAAGTTCTCTTTATAATTTATAATATTACATTATTTTATTATCCTTTATCAATTTATATCTTCACTATGAAGCAAAAATCAAATATCATCTAAACTTTAAAGTACTCGTTATTCTTCTTAACACATAAAAACATGTCACTAAAATATCACATTAATATTAAATGCGCAACAATGTGGGTCGTTATCTAAAACAATTTCTAATTTGGATCTATTTTAGATGCCGATGCATTATACGGTTCAGTTTTTTTATATTGCAACAATTTAAAACTTTCATTTCATGCTGTAATACTAATTCGTACGAATTGGATCATCAAAATTATTTAAATTTCTCGCGTACCGAAAAGCGCTCGAGCCCTCTGTTAAACCCCGTCTGTTGAAAATGGAAGAGAATTTGCCAAAGACGTGTAACTTTAAGATCTTTATCAGCGTGTAACCATAATCTGAATCGACATTTTCACATTGCGCAAAAGTTGTTGGATTAGGAGAGAGTCTCCATTGGACCCTTTGAGGAAGTGACAAGGTAGGTGAGGAATACGCGTTTCCTATCGTGGCATGAATTCGAAAAACCTTCGTCCAGTATAATAAATTTTTAAGTACCTTGGACCTATCAAAAAGCTAGAATATAAAATAGATGCCATTATGCACATGTCGTCATGTCAAAATTGTCTTGAAAATTTCAAGTAGGGATGCATAGTTTTACAGATATAATAACTAAAAACTTTTATGTCTCTACGTAGTGCCATTTGTATTAATAATTGGTATATCATACGAAGTTTTATAATAACATGAATAATGTGATTTAAATAATTGGATGTTTTTTTATTTCATTAATGACTATGTTATGTACAACATTGTTTTCGATTTGTTCTTTTTTATGCTTATCTATATTTAATACGCACGACAAATAAAGAAATATAAATAGACAACAACACATATAATCACACGTTAATAATAAATAGATAAATAGATATATAAGGGATAATTTCATTAAAGCTGTAACTATCCAATTAAAAAACTGAATTTGTTCATATTTTAGTGATGACTTAGATACTATCAAGTGTTGCATCTTTTGAAAAGTTTATTGTTTTATTCTTAATTTAATCAGACCTTAAAAACATGAGTATTAATATACGCAATAGTAGATTACTTTTGTAACAAATTTGAAACAAAAAAAATGGAGATGGCAATTAAAATACAAAAATACTAATTAAAGAGTTTCAGATAGATATATTTATATTAAATATAAGTATAAGTATCATAAGTTGGTATAAGTGTTATTAAAATGACTTTTTACTTCATTTATGCTTGTTTTACAATAAAAAAAGAAGAGTCCTAATTAGACAGACTAAATCTTTATTTAATCTCTCGCATGTTTTTTTTACGCATCTCTGATTCATTTTGATTTAATTATATAAATCATGAAAAAATTCGTTATATGTACAAATCACAAAAGATGCTTTTATAACGAATTTATTTTATTTAATTTGTTTATATTTTTATACAGAATTCCGTTATCGCTTTTGTAGAATTTGCTGTTATCATTGCGCTTTTGTATTCAGAAATTATACTTATTAGTTTATATTATTAATACAATAGATATTATTATCACATGTCATATTTCCAAAATAGTTTTCTGTAATAGCACTTTTGTGTATTTCAAAATATAATTTAAAGAAAATAATTATATTTACAACAGATGTAATAAATCGGAAAGAAAATCGGGAGAAAAGGGGATTAAATAAATCGCTACTATTATTACTTACTATTTCTAAATAATAATTGTACGGGAATGTTATATGTAAATTAATTGTAAAATAATGTTGGAATACGCATGCTCGCGAAAATTTTAGATAACAGAGATTTCCATTACGTTACAATCCAAGATACGGGAATCAAAGCTCATAGTTCATTTTCATAAAAGATGTAACTTTGTAACAAGAATGCCAGCAACAATTTTGTCAATGCTTATTTAGGTCAACTTAATGCCGCCTTTCCGACTAATAACAGTCAGTAATATTAATAACATGTTATGCTTTCGCGTGTGCGGGCAAATTGTAGCGTTACTACCGCACGTTATTATTACATAAAAGCTCTGAGTTACTGTGCGAAACTTCTATTTCAGTTAATTAAAAATGAAGCCTTTCTTTCGCGCACGGTTGCGTTTATCTCGGTTGCGATGTATGCATGCGATCTAGTTAGTAATTGATAATATCTGAAGAGTAATGATAATATCTGAAGAAAAAGATATGAAACAATATCACGCGTCTTGTTTTTTTACAACGCACGTGTGAAACGATTACAAATGTACATGTCGCTCAAATAAGCGATTCTGAAAATACTTTTTACAGATGTAAAACTTTTATTTACTTTAAAAAAAATCAAGCACTATTTGTAACGATTTAATAAAGAGCATATTGCATATATTTACATATACAAAAGAAATTATTTACTTCGAAGGATAAAAGGAGATAATCGATATCTATATATAAAAGATATCAAGATAATATATTTTGTATATCGTTAATTTAGCAGCGACAGTTTTTAAAATTAATCTTTAAAAGTCTATCGCTACGTTCGTATCAGAACGTTACGATAAATTTAATTTTAAAATCAATCACTTTAAAATGCTGCTGACGTATTAAATAAAGTCGCTTAGAAAAAAAATCGTTAAAATACCGTACGAAATTTTATTATGCAATTATTATTTGAAAGACAAGTACCTTATTTTAATTTTATCGAAATTATTGTATTAAATCAATATTAAAAGAATGTTGAAAATATTACTTTTCCCCATAAACTCTTTTTAAGAGAGTGATAAAAACTTGCGTCGACATGCGAATACATTATAGTCGCAATAATATATCCAAAATTGGATATATCAATCTTTTATTAAAGCTCTTTGTGTGTCACGCTTTAAACGCATTCATGGAAATTGATATTGCATGAGAAAATATACTTCGGGATGTGCTTTCTCACAAGCTTCTACCACGATGACAAAGTTGCTATACTGCGGAATATCTAATCTTTTTATTAAAATTCTTCACAAACTCATCGCGAACTTTGCGTGGTCGAAACGCTCGCAAGATGAAATTCTGTTTGCAATCAACTGCAATGAACTTAAATTTAAATCCAAATCGTTTATCCATTTGTCACTAAAGTAACATGCTCTCGTGTGTCTACTAAACGCCGGATAACAATTTTGCATATATTTTTACAAGAATCGCGTGTTTAAAAAAAAAAGTTATTTGTGTAATTCGTTGCTGTAATTGGATTAGCCGTTCAGTCGAAATTAAACTCGCCTGTTTTCAATGGAATTCCTACGGAAATTCGATGCACGGTTTATAGGACGTGCGATAAAATACGAGGGGAGAGCTATGGGGTTTTCGTGTTTTGCGTTTTAATGTTCCTCACTCCTTTCACATTTGTCCGATGGCTACTGCAATCTTGTAAATTCCGAGTCATGGCTATGCCAATGCGTGTCGTATTTTTCACTGTGAATTATTGTCGATTGTGGTTACAGATTTTCCTAAACTGTTACTCGAATTAGACTTCCATTCGAACTTTCGCTTAAAATACTATTCAGAGTTAGCTATTCATTTGTCTTTGCTCTCCTCGTCAAGCAAGAACCTGTAATTTGCTCGTACAATGGCAAATCGAATTAATTATTTACGCGTTATTTAGTATTAAAGACTAAACGTGAAATAGAAATTTCTTTAATTTTATGTATGATAAGCTTACGATATATATATATAGATATAAATAATATATTCCTTGAGTTTATTGTCAGTTTTAGGAATTTAGAGTTACATAGTTTACATTCAGAAGAGA